TGGTTATTTTCTTCCTAAGTAAATGGAAAGTGTAATCTATCCTTTTTTAGGTAACACCTTCAAGCATTTCTGAGCTTTGAAATTTTTCTGCCAGGTCTCCCAAAATGACTGGCTCAAGTGAATTCTTATCCGCTACTGTGATCTCCCTTTTCTCTTCATCTCAAAACTCCTTGATATTATCCCCTTGTTCTCTCTTCCTATTTCTTCAGTCTCTCATATCCCCCCACTTCTTACCAAGGTCAACCCTTTTTTATTATCTTTTTCAGCAGACTGTTCCTTAAGCACTTTTCTCCAACCCTGAATCTCTCCTATTTACTAATTTCATTACTACCTTCAAACATGCCATGTCTCCCCTATACTATAAATATTTAAATTTTACTAGATCCTATCATCCTCTCACACTATCATTCTATGTCTTTCTTAGCCAAACTCCTAGAAAAAATAGGCTATTTTCATTTCACTTCCACTGATTTCCCCTTTGCAATGTGATGCCAACCACACTGGAACTGAAGCTGCCCTCTTCAATAAACAATTCCTAATAGCCAAATCTGATGGTCTTTTCTCAGTTGTCATTCCTATTGACCTCTCTACATCATTTAACATTGGTGATGACCCACTCTTCCTAGAGTTCTCTTTTCTCTAGATTTTCCTCACACTCTGTCTCCAGGATTTCCTCCTACTTGTCCTGTTCCTTCTGTCTCCTTTGCTAACTCATCCTAATCTGGGTGTACTCTGGAGCCCTGTGCTGGCCCTTCTCTGCCTTTCCCTCCCTTTCCTTTCCTTCTTTTCCCTTCCTCCTCTTATTGATTAATTGATCCAGCCCCAGAGTTACTGTGTTAACTGAAAACTCAGAAATCTTTCTCACTTGAACAGTACAAGTCGAACACTGACATCTGACTGTGTCTCACCATTGTGTGGGTTAATTACAGAAATTTGTCTCCTTGAAGAACTTGCCAGATTTTCATTCCCAAGCTAACATCAGCTCGTGTCTATAGGACAGTTTTATAAAATATGGCCCATATTCATAAAAGTCTGCTCTTGGAAATGTAGTTATGAAATGGCTCCCTTTTATTCCCCCAGAGAAAGAGCTTGGTGTTAGAGTTCCTAGCTCTGCTCTAGGAAATGGTCTTTCTCCCGCACAGTTCTCATTGCACCCTCATGCTGCAAAGATACACTAGGACACATAAGAACAGGGTTGACCCCAGACGTTTGTAAGAAATACTATTAAATTAATCGGTGTGCTTTTTTAGCATGAGAATCCACGATCACTCATACCTCCTAGTCTGCCCATTTAGAAGTTCTCTCAGGAGGGAACTGCAGATGTGGCAGGTAATGGTTGCTGCCAGAGAGAGAGAAAGGGAGGGAAGGAGAGAATGAAAACAGTGGAGAGAGAGAATATGAGAACACAGACAATGAGATTACGAGTTGGGGGTGGGTTCTTGATATTTTTCAGGCTTCTTAAGAAATACGCATTTGAAGTCATGGTTCTCTTTCTGAATTTAGTGCATAATTCAGATGGCTTGTAATGGGTTAAGTTTATAAATCCATTTCTTTTGCTTAAAAAAAAAAATACGCATTTGTTACTTAATAGAGAACAAGATCTACTCCCAGCAAGGAGCTTTAGGCCTAGAACCAACTTATTTAGGAATGCCAGGGAATGTATATGTATATTAGCAGCAACTAGAACATACACTCTTGGATTTGCCTTTCCTGGGCCCAGCAGGGACATGATGGGGATAAAAATTAAAAGTCCAAAGCTTTCCCACCTGAAGCTCCAATGCTCCTGGGATGTGGGCCTGCTGTTCATGTCAAACCAGTGATATATCTGCCATAAAGTTTTCTTTGTGAGATGGTATTGATCTGTACCCAAAGGACTGGTGTTTTTAAGTCTTTGTGCTCTCAGTAAATCACTTCACCCTTTCAACATCTATAAAAAGAGGATTGTACTAGATTATCTCTTCAATCTAACATCCTATAATGAAGACTCTGGCTGAGGTTTCAAGCCTGTATGATCATGAGGATGAGAACAGGAAAGATAAAGAGGTGGAGATGGTTTGGAGAAAGAGATGATGGATGAGGTTGGCTTGGGACATCCCAGTGGAGCTGTCCAGCAGAAAGTTAGAAATGAGTGAGGAACTCAGAAGTCAGTTCAGGATTGGTGGGTGGAGGGATGTAGTATTGACCTAAGAACATAGAGGTCAAAATTAAAGCAACAGGAGTGAATGAGATCACTGTGGGAAGGACTATAGAGAGGGAAGAATGCAGAGAACAGAAAATATGAGAGCTATTCCCAGGATTTAGCATGTAAAAGGCTGAAGAAGATCTCTCAAAGTAGTCTGAGAAGGAGCACAGAGAAAAATAGAGGGAACCCAGACAAGAAGTTTTAGTGCAGTTCTAAGTTTTAATGGCTTCTTGATAACTTAAAAGGGGAAAGGAAAGGAAGGAAGGCAAGACAATCATTTTTATAACTCTACCATGTGCCAGACACTGGACTAAGTACTTTACAATTACTATCTTATTTGATCCTCACAACAACTCTCTGAAGTAGATGCTACTTTTGTCCCCATTTTACAGTTGGAAACTGAAGCAAACAGAGGTTGAAGGATTTGTCAAGGGTCACAAAAGTAGTAAGTGTCTGAGGCCAGATTTGAACTCATGTCTCCCTGGCTCCAGGATCAGTGCTCTATCCACTGTGCCAGCCTCATTAGGACTTTTGGAATGCCTTGTATGTTGTGGAAGACGGAGGGGAGAGAGCATTTTAAGAAGGAAGGTGTGGTCAATGATGTCAGATGTTATTGAGATGTCAAGAATGAGTACTGGGAGGGATCCTGAACTTGGTGTTCAAAAGGCAGTCTCCATGCAAGGGAGAGTAGGAGGAAGCCAGACCGATAAGGAGAGGTAAAGGAGCAAATGGAGGAGTCTCTGAGAAATTTGTCAGTGAAAAGGAGAGGAGATGGGGCAGAAGTATTCATCAGATACTTATTGATGCCTAAGGCACTTGCTGGGTGTTGTGAGTGGCACCAAGATGTAGAAGACTCAGTCCCTGCCCTCAAGGAGATTCCAATGTAGCATTGGTGTCAATATGGCAGAGGCCTCAGGATGTTTGTAGGGAGGAAGAAGAAAGTTCCTCTGCATCCTTCCTGATCTGTTATAAAGTTAGACCTAGAGTTTTGATGCCTTCTTTGTTTACTTTAATGTCCTGTCCCAGAGATTTTTTTAAATAAACAAATAAAAAGCAGAAGACAAAAAATCAACGTACCTGCAGTTCAGCAAAGAGCCTTGGATGTAAAAAAAAAAAAAAAAACGTGACTCATATCTGACACTAACTTCATGACCTTGGGCAAGTGACTTCTTCCCTCTGGGTCTTAGTTTCCATGTAGGTAAAATGAGGGCACTAAATTTGATGATCTGTAAACGCCATCTTGACTCTATGGAACAAATTTCTGTGGCCAAGTGGAGGAGATAAGGTCAAGAAAATAAGTGGAAGTTAGTCTTAATAGGGGCAGTTTGGTGGCAGAGTGGATAGAGTGCCAGGCCAGGAATCAGGAAGACCCAAGTTCAAATCTGGCCTAATATACTAGCTGTATGATCCTGGGCAAGTCACTTCACACTGCTTGCCTCAGTTTCCTCATCTGTAAAATGAGCTGGAGAAGGAAATGGCAAGCCACTCCAGTATCTTTGTTAAGAAAATCCCAAAACAGATCATAAAGAGTCAGGCACAACTGGACGACTACAGATCTTAGCAGGACAGAGGACCACCTCTTTGAAACAAAAGGGTGAAATCACAAATTAATTTTGAGACATGAAGGAAGGGGTCAAGTTAGTGTCCAGATTCTCAGTAAAATAGGAGGTGAACACTCTCAGTTGAGAGGCATGGAAATGAGATTGGGGAGGGAGGTTTGTAAGGAATGGAAATCTAGGGTGTAGAAAGATGTTACCTATGACCCATACAGTCCCTCTTCCAGAAAAGGGGTCCAGCTCCTGGCTTCAACAGGCATAGATTCAGCGCTAAGAGAGTCTCAAGCACATTTTCCCAATAATTCAAATAATACATTCAAGCATAAGTCAAGCAATTACAAGGGAGATTGTTCTCCTCCATGGATTCCATCATTCTACCACCATTACTGAAAGGGGCCTCACTGGACTGAAAGCAAATCTCTATTTTTGTTTCATGGATTGCCATGGTCCAAGATCTCATCACTAATCAGCCAACATGCTAGTGATGAGTCTCTCCCTACTTAGCCAGAGACAACAGATACAGTACTCCACCAGGCGGGTGCCTGAAACCTTTTCATGGAAAGACTTTTCCTATTCAAGACACTTCAGTGGTTCTCTCTTGCCTCTAGGATCAAATACAAACCCTTTTCTCTATCATTAAAGCCCTTCCCAATCTTGATTCCTACCTCCTTTTCCAGTCTAATTCCACGTTATCACCCCTCACCTACCCGTGAACTCCATCCAAACTGGCCTATTTGCTACCATCTGTTCAGGACATTTTCACCTCACTCTGCACACCTTTGTACAGGTTGGTGCCTACACTTGGCCGACCTTTAATCTCCAGCTTCCTTCAAAGCACAACCCAGTGGCCATCTCTACACAAAACCTTTCTTAATTGCCCCATTTCTTAAGGCTTCCATATAAAAAAGTTACTTTGTATCCATATTGAATTTACATTTACAGCACCCACATATCCACCTCTCTGTATATACATAAACACATGTATATACATGTATAATATACATTTATACATGTGAGTGTATCTCCCTCTGTACTACCCAGTTGCTAACCACCTGCCAACAGCCCATCAGCTGATGCTACTTTCTTCTAGCTTTGCCTTTCGAGCCAGACACCAGGTAGGTCCCCCAGAGCCGCTAGACGGCGATAGAGCTTCCACGCGGCAAAATAAGTCCCTTCTAGCCAAATGTCCGCTTTCTCTATGGTCCACTTCCCTTGCTCTTTTCCTTTCCAAAGGTCAGGAAGAGCTTCCGGGTTCACTGGTCGCCTTGGAAACGAGGCTTTTCCGGCTGCTCCGGGGGAGGGGCCAAGATGGCAGAGGAGAAGGCGCCGACGGTGAGAGAGCTCGGGGTTAGAGGGGCCGGGACGGACTTCCCCCCCCCACTCCCCCAGTCCCAGCCCTGGTGCGGGAAGGGAGCGTGGGCGTGGCCTTTCTCCCCTCCTCCAGCGGGATCCCAGACAGATCTCCAAGCTTTTCTCTGTAGGAGGCAAAGGCAGGACCGGCCTGGGCTGCTACCCTCGGCGGGAAGGGTCTCCCTTCTCCTCTTTCTCAGGAAAGGAGGCTCCCCGCCCCGCCTGGGGTCCTCCTTCAGCCCCGCCCTGGGTCCGGGAGCGCTCCGCGGGGCCTTGAAAGCGGAGGCGGGGGTGGGGGAGGAGGGTTCCTCGCTTAGCCCAGCGCCTGCATACAGCAGGGGCATAATTAGTGCTCGCGCCCCTGCAGAGCAGCAGCCTGGGTCCCGGGGAAGGAGTGAGAGGCCGGGGCGAGGAGAGCAGCCCGTGGAGAAAGAGACCCTTTGGTGGGCATTTTTAGGGAGGAGTCACTTAACCAACGTGTGCCTCAGTTTCCTCTTCTATAACCAACCACAGATGCTGTCTCCAGTTTACAGATGAGGAAATTGAGGCACATGGCAGTTAAGTCAGTGGTCAGCATAGAGTTTGTAAGTGTCAGAGACAGGATTCAAACCCAAGTGTTTTACCAGCATCCCTGAGACGTTCTCCTCCTGGGCTTTTGTTGTTTTGGGGCCATCAGGGTGGAGATGAGTAGGAACGGTCCCTGAACCTTGTCCCTTTCATTGCTCAGTACTTTGATATATTTTCATCATCTAGTGTGCCAGAAAATAAATCCCTGAATTCTTTTAGGAAAACTTAGGACCTTGACCACAGAAGGCCAAGTACATAGAGCTGGAGTTTTTATTTTCTGGCTATTATTTCCATACTGAATACCAGGACCAAAGCTTAGGCTATGAAAGGAATTGGTTATAACCTGGCTGTCATCTGCTTCAACCTCATCTCCTTTTCCAACTGGGATGAATTTTAAGGCCAGGAGTGAACCATTTTTATGCAGTCTCAAATATATAAGCTTGTTAGCTTGATTAAGTATAACTTAAATGCCTTAGATATTAAATTTAACGACTTAACTTTTTGATAATGGTGAATACTGTGTTGTATGTAGAAACATTCTTCAGCTACAGTGTTATGTATGTATTGTGCTTTAGTTGAACATAATTCACTTGTGAATGAGTTAATAAGTTCATTTTTATCTATTTCACTTAGATTTGATGAATAAAATAATCAATTTTCTGGCATGGAAAAAATAGTATCAAAATCATTGCCTTAAAATATATTTGCATCCTTTCAAAATGAAAGCTCCATCAATCAATCAGTATACTTTTCAAATCGTAAGATCATAGGTATTTGTTTGGTTTTGTTCTCAACATGTTTATTAAATGTCTGCTGGCTACCTGTTCTCTTACAGAATCTCAGTAGAGATTCTTCAAAATATGAATGTGCTTTTTATTTAAAAAATGGAACAAGTGTTGCCTACTAGTTATTGAATTCAAAGCCACTGTAATTCAAACATACACATCAACTGTGGAGTAAAGAAAAATTATACATCAAGTATAAAGTAAACCTTTCTTTATCGAGTACTTTGAAGACTGGAATGAAGACTTCAAATATCATACCCAAGTTTAAATGAGTAACACTGGCCCTTTCACTCAAAAGAGTTTACACAAGAAAAACATAAGTGGATGAAGATTATTTCTTGTCTATACTATGATTTTCAGTTGGACGAACAACATCTCATCTGTCTTAGACAGTGCAAATGGTCAGGGACCTGGGCCCAGAATTAAATAGGAAGTGGCAAGCAGGTTAGATTACCTTTGGGAAGGTTATTTTCATGAGCCCAGCCCCCTCCCTGAAGCTTTTTATGGTATGATAGGATCATAGATTTAGGACTGGAAGGGATTATAGAGACCATTAAGTTCAGCCTTCTTATTTTACAGATGGGGAAACTGAAACCCAGATAGATGGGCTTGCCCAGGGTCACACAAGCAAGTAAGTGTCTGAGGCAGAATTACCACTACAGTACCTCTTCTGTCTATGCATACATCCGTTTTCTTTCAGGCACTTATCACTTGCAGCTTCTTGATTGGTCTCCCCACTTCAAGTGTTCTTCCCCACTCTAGTCAGTCCTTCATATGGCTGCCAGGGTGATCTTTCCTTAAGCACAGATCTAACCGTGTCACACTGCTTCTCAATAAATGCCAGAAAGTAGAAACTCCCCTGTTTAGTTTTTAAAGCCCTTTATACCCTGGCCCAATCTGTCTTTCTAGCTTCGCTGTACATTATTCCCTTTCCCACACTCTGTAAACCAACTGAAAAGAGCTGTGCCTCTCATGGGATACTGTCTTCCTACTTGGCCCTGTACCTCCCCAGTGCCTCCGAGAGTCCCTCTCTTCAAGATTATTAGCTCAAACAGGAAACCTTTCCTGATTCCCTACCAGTTACCAGCTGAAGGAGCACTGTGTGATATTAACCATGTTCCATAGAGTCTCTTTATGTTTATTCTGCCCATGTTTACAGATATGCTTGTCTCCCCTCTTAGAATATAATCTCCTTGAGAGTAGGGATTGTACTCTTCTTTGGATCTGTATCCCCAACCAAAGACAAACAACAACAACCTAGGACAGGGCCTGGTACGGAGTAGGCCCTGAATGCCTGCTTACTGATTGATTGAGGCAGACTCACCATTATTCTTTTGAGGAATGTGGTATGTCTGTGAGTTATGACTGAAGTGCAGTGTCACCCAAAGAACAAAGCAGGTGGCAGGCGCGAGTAGATCACAGCACTTTATAAACAAGGAATTAGGCCAAAGTGGCTTAAAGTGGGTCATCAAAGAAAGAGATGCTGGAGACAGGGCTGGTCATTCACTAAGAACAAGAGGCAACCATGGGCCCCTCTGGTCTAATTACCCCGTGAGGTGGGCTTGACAAAGCCCCTTCTCGTGGTCGACTGTGCATGAACCCAAGGGAAGACTTGAATGAGTCTTCTGAGATGAGTAGACATGGATGGGCTAAAATGGGCATCCATGAAAACACCATATCCATTGGGATGCTGGAATATTTTTAAGCCTTTTTACACTTCTGTAAGGATTAGTCAGACATTGTATCTACTTATCAAAATGCAGTATTGTTTAGTGGGTAGGTTTAGACATACAGGTGGCATAGTGAATGGAGTGCTGGACTTGGAGTCATGAAGACCTGATGAGTTCAACTCCTACCTCAGACACTGACTAGCGGTATGACCACGACCACGGGCAAGGCATTTCATCTTTTACAGCCTCAGTTTCCTTATCTGTAAAATGGGATAATAATAGCACCTACCTTATATCGTTATTGTCAAGATCAAAGAAGATAACGGTGTAAATGCTAGCTGTTCTTATATGCCTTAGCATTTGGGATTTTAACTTGTAAGAACAAGGTCTTTTGCCTATTCTTTCCCAATTTCTGCATGTTTCAAATGAGTACTTCCTCTGTACTATACATTCACTATATGCCTATATGGTATTTTTAGATTTTTTTTCCACTAAAGGTTGGGGAAGAGGGGGAAGACTAGATTAGGGAAGAGGAAAGGAAGGTTTTCATATAGCATTCATATAGCACTTACTATATACCAGGCTGTGTGCTAAGCTCTTTTTAAGTATTATCTCATTTCATTTGATTAATAGTTCAAATCATTGAATCTTACTGTTAATATGTTTGATTCCTGTTAAGGGGAATTGGTATATTTATTATGTTTTCCTTTAGTTAATGTTATTAATTTATCTTTGGGTGGTTATATTGTCCACTGAGAGTTTCTTGGCACAGTATCAATCTCTTTTTCACCCAATCACAGAATGCTCTGCTCTTTACACATGCCATCTTACTCCGTTTGTTTTGCTCTTTGGAAATTTGATCTGGAAACCACATGCTTGCATTTTAGAGTATTTTATTGCTAACGCACCTTTTGGACTGAGAGGCAGCTTGGTATAATGGGTAGAGAGCAAGGCTTAGAGCCAGGAAGGCCTGGGTTGAGACCTCTTTCTGTGTGACCCTGGGCAAGTCATTTTACTTCTCAGTTTTCTAGGTAACTCCATAATATTAAAAACTGCGGAAGCAGTGCTGGTTTGGTTTGTTGGAAGGTGCATCACCTGGGAGTTTCTTCCACCAAGGAAATCACAGGTGGAGTCCTTCTCCCTAACCCTCGTCTTACGTTGAGTCCATGGAAGTGTAGGAAGGAGAGATAATAGTCAGATCACTCCAAAGCTCTGATGGGTCTTCAGTAATACAGATTGCAGCTCCTCCATGCCTGCCCATCCTCTGTGACTCTTCTCATAGGAGCCTAGATCTAGAGATGGAGGTCACTCAGAGGGAATGTAGTACAGCCCTGTTATTTTACATAAGAGAAAACTGGAGTTAGAGACTTTCTTGTGTCTAAATGTCTTGTCCAAGGTCACACTAGCAATAACTGTCAGAGCCAGGGTTTGAACCTTTTATTCCAGATCTTGCCCGTGCCCTTACATAAATATGCCACCAGGAGGTTACCCAGTATGCTGGATGCCTTTTCTCTTGACATTACAGAGACAGTAATGGAGCATGTGATGTCCATTGTTCTTGCTCTGTGACGGAAACGTTTAGTTTGGCTTCAGACATCACATTTTAAAACGGCATTGGAAAATAAGTGTGTCCAGAGGAAGGTGGCCGGGATGGTAATGGATCTGGAAAATATGTTGTAAGAGGAACAGTTTAGTCTGCAGGAGGAAGCTAGGCTGGGAGGTGGCGGGATGAGAGAGTGTGATAGCTACCTCTAACATATGAAGAGCTATTATGTGAAAGAGGTTTAGATTTAGTCTGTGTGGCTATCAGGGTCAGAACTTGGACCAGTGGATGGAAGTTAAGGGAAAAAGAACTTCCTAATGGAATTTTCCAACAGTGGAATTGACTGCCTGGGGTGGGGGGATGAGTTATGCACAATAACAAGTCACATTTATGTAGTGCATTAAGGTTCTCAAGGTACTTTCCCCACACCAACTCTGTGAGGTGGGTACTATAATTTTATTATCCTCATTTTACAGTGAAGAAACTGAGGCTTTTGGAGGAGTAATTTCCAACATTTTTTATTCTGCAAACTCCTTTCAGTCACAGCAAATGTGTTGAGAACCCCCAGGGTAATTTAATATGCTACTCATAATATTCTGCAATTATTTACTGCCTGAGAATTTTTAGTGTGATCCCCCTGTACTATCATTGCAAACCCTAAGGCACTCGGGAACCATTAAATGGGAACCGTATTTGTAGAGATAAGTGATTTGCCCATGGTTATACAGTTTGTGTGTCTGAGACAGAATTAGAATCCAGGTCTTGTGATTCCAGCTCCAGTTTTATTTCTGCTAAACCACATTGCCCATCCCCATCATTGGAAGTTTCAAAGAAGAGAGCCATTAAGGGTTATAGAAAGGGATTCTGGCATGACATAGAAGACAGCATTAGGTTTTGGATATAGATCACTCCCAAAAGAGTCTACCTTTTTGTGAATTAGATCACAGTCTGTTTCCAATGAAGCATTTTTTCATTAATTTTTAGTTTTCACCATTCACTTCCATAAGCTTTTGAGTTTTAAATTTTTCTACCTCTCCCTTCCCCCCTCCCTCCCCAAGATGGCATGCAGTGTGATATAGGCTCTACATATTCATTCCAATTAAATATATTTTCACACTAGTGTGTTGTAAAGAAGAATTAGGACCAATAGGAGGAACCACAAGAAAGAAGAAACAAAATGAAACAGAAGAAAAGAAAAAGAGCAAATAGTAGAAGCAACTTATTCTTTTTCATTCCTATGACTTTACAGTGTCATGGTTGTAATCAAAACAAAACAAAACAAAACAAAACACCAAAGTTCTCCCTTGGTGTACCATCCACTCCATATTTTAGAAGTCACCATTATAGAAGTACAGCGAGAAATTTATATTTTCCAAAAAACTGTATCCTCAAACAGTTTCCTCTTGCCCCCAACTATGCACAATAATACTTTAAAAGTATCAAAAAGTAATCAAATTACATGCATAATCAGCTTTAGAATATAGTGTGCTACCTTCATTAAGGTGGTTAGGAAATAGACTTTTTGAATAGCTTTGATACCGGCATGTTACAGTGGAATTTACAGAGCTTGCAGGTGAGTGTTATCTACATAAATCTCATTACTGTAAAGAAATTTTCTCTCATCTTTTTGATTTCTTAAAAAAAAAGCATTCTGCAGGCCAGTGTTTTTAATATATTCTGTATAATTACTTTTTTGAAAAAACTTAATAGACCTCTGAAACTATTATGTAACTGTTGCTCTCCGGTCAACACTGGACTTCAAATTACTGTTTAATATATTAGTTCTATAATACTCAGAAAGTACACTCAAAAACATTTTCTATCCGTAATTAGAGTGGTAAGTAAGCAGTTTGTGAGAATCCTACTTCCAAGTCATTGCTAGAAACATGCCAGACTTGTCTTTTGTAGCTTCTGCCCGTTTTGTAAACTCTGTGTCATAGTGTATGGTACCTGAACATAGTCCTTTTCTCGTTTCAGACAACTCAGTTTCCTGGGACGATAGAACCTCAAAAACCTCGCTTGAAAAAAGGTCTGTTTGTAATCTTTATGTATATGCACATTGTTCTTTGTTCCATTGAATGCCACTACAAGATTCTTTCTTTGGTTTTGTATATTTTAGGAGCTATGACACCTGGTGTTGGGGGCCCTGGAGTAACCTGCCATGTCAGACCTTAGATCTCAGGCGCACATTTTAACTTGAAGGATTCTCTAATGTTGTCATGGAGTTTACTCTGGGTAGTAATTGTGTTAGTGTTACAACACAGCTGACCAGACTAGAGACATGGATTGCAGTGAGTCACACAAGAGCACATAGGAATCAGCAGCTTGTCGTTTTATTGCACCAGCCTCAAGTGGAAGCCCTAAGCCGCAGCTTTCATCAGTCAGAAATACCTGGGCTCCACTAGTGGAGGTGCAAGGTTGCACTCAGAACATTGCCCCAGTGCTGAGGCAGCCCGTATTCCCCTAAAAGAGGGCCAGATGGAGAGGTACTGGCAGTGATGACACCTTCTGGGATGTTCTTGTGCAAGGCACTGTGGGAAGGAAACTTGTAACAGTAAGGGTAGGATTTATTTTGCTGCAGTGACAGGTTTGTGCTGCTACAGTGGGGTTTATGGACTTAACGTCTTCTGAGCCAAGCTGGGGGCCACCAGTATTTGGCATCATCTTTTCCACTTGTAACAAACTTCTCTGTCAAGTTCTTAGAGCATACGTGGCTACAATCTGTCCAAAATATTTTTCTGTGCACCAGTAAACTTTTTCTACAAATCAACTGATTTTCTATAAGTTGATTATGGGTAAACATCTCTATAGAAACATAATAAAATCCAAAATTACAAATTAAATAGGGTACATCTATGCATTTAACATTATTTTTTATTTCTGGTCATCATTAATCATTAAACTTAACTGGAGTTCAGCTGCCTTTCAGTGTTACTTTTGTTTAGAATATTCTAGTCATAGTGTGTATTTTTTTCCTGGTTTGGCTCATAGATTGAATCTGTGTTTCATTTTGCAAAACCATTTCACGGCTTTAAGAACCTGTGAGATTCATGTGCCAGGTGTTTGGAACAGGTTACAACCAGCACCTTCAGGTGTTCCAAAGAAGTGAATTGTCTAATAATTGGAGCTTCCCTTTTTAACAGGAAAAACTTTTTATTTGAACTTTTTGGGAACAGAATCTTTCCAACATGTATTAACTTTATGCTTCCTCCCTTCCTTAAACAGATTTTATGAAGTCTGAGGGTGTAAGAAATTTGAGATTGAGAGGTTGATTTGGTGGGGTTCCAATCAGTCAATCAGTAAGCATTTATTAAGTGCTTACTGTGTGTCAGGCGCTGTGCTAAACTTGGGATACAAAGAAAGGCAATAGACGGTGTCTGTCCTCAAGGAACTCACAGTCTAATGTCCCATTTCTGCCCCCAATTAAACAAAGTGACTTTGACCAAATCTCTTAACTTCTTCGAGGCTCAATGTCCCCATCTGTAAAATTGGAAGCTTGGATTAAAAATGTAGGGTCTGGATTATAGTTTACTTGGTGTTGCGCTTATTTGTGACCAAATGATATCTGTTAGATTTCGGGCTTGTTGAAAGCAGGGATTGTAGAGTATCTCCTTTCTGTGTCCTCAGAACCTACACTATAGGCCCTTGCACATAATGGAGTCATATCACATTTGTTGCATTGAATTGAGGAATACTGTGTAAGGCAGGAAAGATATATTAGAGTCAAATTACAAAGCACTCTTAAGTGCCACGTGAAGGAATTTATATTTTGTCTTGTAGGTGATATTGAGCCACTCAAGATTATTAAACAGGGAAATGACCTGTATGCACTTGTGCATTACCTTGCTACTAGTGTAGGTGTCCAAAGATGCTTCAGTTAAGAGGGATTCCAGCCGCGTCACTTGGATAGTGTGTGCCAGAGAAAGCCCCCAGGGGATCCTTGCTGTGGGTATTTTTGAAAGTATGGAGAAGGTGCAGTAGGGCTCTGAACACTTGGACATTAATTTTCTGGCTGTATTACTGTGGGTGAGTCCCTTAGCCTGTCGGAGCCATGATGTATGTAAGATTTTGTACCCTTCAGAGTCTGAAAACCACAAGGGAAACAGAAAACCTCAGGGAATGTTGAGGTCTGTAGCACTTTTATAGGGTCCCAGACACTGTCCTTTTCTCCTTCTTCTGTCGACTTTGTAGAGCTCTCCTGATGCTCCCTCTATTATCAGGCTGTCTGTGCGCTTTCTAATCCGCAGTGAGGAAGGAGACCAGATACCGAAGCTTGTTAGAGACCATGGTCAAGCTAGAGGCTTGAGGGGCTTTCTCGTAAGTACGGTGGGGATCACCTTTGAGGTGTGGACTTTGTTCTTCATAGCTGAGGGTGCCAGATAACTGAAGTGTTGCCTTAAGTATAGTTAGCTTGATAGATAGTGCCATTCCTTCGGCTGGGGATAAGAAGTCGTGGAGAGCAATCATGTTCTCCCTTCAAAGGTCTTTTGGCACAGCTGTCAGATGCAGAAATAGGAATTGAATGGACATTGATCTGACCCACTTTGGTATTTATGTTAAGACAATTGGAATATCCACAGAGCCAGAAAACTGGCCAGTTAATTTATCCTTTCCCTGGTCAGAGCTTTCCCATTCCTCGTTCTCTATTGCTGGGGACACGTTATCACTTTTTAGACTGCTGAGTAGCAAGAGCCCAAAGCAGCCTAAATTTCTCCCTGAGTTTGCTGATAATTAAATATTTTGGTTAAAAGACTTTTAGCTTCCTTTGGGAGATTCTATTTATATCGACAGAGAGCTTAATTAAGCAAGATAGGTGACTGGGTCAGTAAGTACTTGAGATTAATACTCTTTACAGTACAGATAAGCAGATTTGGTTGTTTGAGGATGAGAACCACTCAGTTATTTAGGGGCTGTTCTACCTGGAGCTTAAATGGGATCATTGAAGACAAAAAAAAAATACTTTAAGCATTCACTAGGAAGTATAGCCTCAGGCTATAAAAGAGAATTGTTATAAAAGAGAATTGATTAGAAACCTAGCTAATTCCTGGCCTCTAGCTAGAGAGCTGGGGATTGATCTTGAGCTAAGGCTTCTGGCCAAATAAGGCTCAGGCTGAAGAGGGAGGCTCGAGATACAGTTTGTGTTTGATCTTAGTGGAAAAGTTTTTCACTTTCTCTGCCCAGGGTCCCTTTGGCTGGCACTCTGGTGAAGCCTGTGGACTCCTATGGTCACCTTTATTCATAATTAAAGGAATTGCTAAAGTTCAAGTGATGTAATTTTTCCCTGTCCAAGTTCATGGGCCCCCTGAAATCTTTATATGGACTCCTTGGGGGGTCCATGGATCCCTGTCCTAAAGGTGATAGTCACTGCACCATATTGAGAAGAATGACTTGGTCTGACTTATACTTTAGGAAAATCACTTTGGTAGCCTTAGGAGGCAAGGCTGGATATTAAAGAGACTTGAAGCAGGGAGACCAATTAGGATGCAATCTGCAGTAGTACGAGTAAGAAGCGAGTAGGATAAGAAGTGAATAGGTTCTCTGTGAATAGACTGTAGGCAGCAAGCTGGATGCAAGAGACTTTGTGTAGCAGACTTGACCAGACTTTCCCCTCACAAACACCTTCACTAGTCCTAAATTTCCTCATCTTCTCATTCACCCAAGCTTGACTCCTCAGTGTCATCTTTGATTTTTCTATCCTTCACACCCACAGCTTTATGGCCAAGTTGTGCCAGTGCTACCTTCACATGGATTCTTTTCTTGCTGCCTTTCACACTGATACCACTCTGGTTCAGGCCTTCATCACCATACGTCTAGGCTATTATAGACGTATCCTAAATTGTCTCTCTCTATCTCCAGTCTCTCCTCTCTTTAGTCCTTGATACAACTGCCAAAATCATCTTCTTAACACGCAGATCTGACCATTTCATGCCTGTATCATAAAAATAAAAATTCCTTACTCTGGCTTTCAAGGTTAGTCTGACTGCAATGTACTTTTTAGCCATAAGTCTCTCGGGCTCTGTCCAAACTTGTCATTTCCCACTGCAAGCACTTGCATGTGCCTTCAGTCTCCATGCCTGGAAGAGACTTTTCCCATATCTTTGCCTAGGGACATTTCCTCTTTAAGGCCCAGTTTAGGTGCTGCCTCCTCTATAAATGTTTCAGTAATCTCTTTAGCTAAAAGCATCCTTCCTTCTCAGATCTTCCAGGCCATTCTGATATCTTCTCACTAATCAATTAAAATAGTCTAGCTCATACACTAACTCTTTGCATTGTTTCATTCATGAACACCTTATATATAAATCCTCTCCATTTCTTGTATTGTAATAGCCTCTTGACTGGCCTCCCTGACTTCTGTTTCTCCTCTCACCCTTAACACAGGTGTCAAGGTAGTCTTCCTGAAGTAAGCACAGTTCCATTTGCCAGTGTCTCTCTGATCCTCAAAAGTCTTCAGTATTTCTCATCTGCCAGAGAAAAGGTTCTTAAATTTTCATGTCCTGAGCCCCTCTGGCAGTTGGGTAAACAAAGACTGGGGGTCCATTTTCAGAATAACATTTTTTAATGCATAAAGTAAAATATACAAGATTACAAAGAAAACCAAGTGTATTGAGATATAGTTATCAAAGCTGAAAAAGAAAAAAAAAAAAGCAAGTTGCCAGACCCCAGTTTTAAGTACTCTGTCCTAGAAGATAAAATACAAACTCCTTATCTAAGGCATTCTGCAATCTGGCTTTAAAGTCTAAGCCATCAGTAGCTAAATGAAAGAAATGATCCATGTCACTAATAATTAGAGAAATGTAAATTAAATCAACCTCACACCCATCAGATTAGCCAAGTTGACCAAAAAAGGAAAGTGACAAATGTTGGAGGGGCTAGAAAACAGGTCCATTAATGTATTGTTGGTGGAGCTCTGAAATTGGCCCAGCTATTAGTTATTAAATTATTACTAAATTCTCTTATTCAGCAATATCACTGCTAGGATTACACCCCAAAGAGATCAAAGAAAGAGAAGAAGGACATATGTGTACAGAAATATTTATAGCAGCTCTTTTTGTGTATGCAAAGAACTAGAAATCAAGGGAGTGTCCATCAATTGGGGAATAGCTGAACAGATTATAGTATATGAATGTAATGGAATACTATTGTACTACAACAGCATTATAAAGAGAAACATCTTTGAAAGACCTAAGAAACTGATCAACTCAGTGACCTGTTACACTTCCAGAGGATCCGTGATGGAGCATGTTACCCACCTACTGACAGAGAGCTGATAGACTTAGGGTGAAGATCGAGATATGTTCTTTAGATGTGGCCGTTACAGGAGTGGCCGCTGAGGGAATTTGCTGTTTTACTTGACTTCATATTTGTTACAAGGTTTTTGTTTATTTTTTTAATGTGGGAGGGAGTGTGTGGGAAGAGGAGAAATACATTTTTTGTTAATTAAAACAATTTAATCAAAATTTAACAATGCTGGCTTCAACCTATCCATCAGCTTTAATTTTTTACTGCTTAACATTTAACATTTTAATCAAACTGGATTATTAGCATCCTTGATCTTGTCTTACCATCTCCTATCTCTCTGCTTTCCTGCAACTCATTTCTGCAATACTACCTCCTCAACTCCTTTGCCTGTTTCAAATCCTTCTCATACTTGGATGGCTGGTTTAGATGCTGTTTCTTTAATGGAAGTAGAAAGCTGGCTCCCAAAGAGTCTCGCATCTGTGTCAACCCTCAGCCTCTAAGTGCCTGGTGGAGCGAAGGGCCTGCTCTGAAGGCATCTCCCTGGGCTTTCCTCTGTAACTGGGGGAGTAGGAGTTGGGGTAAGGACCTCTAGAGTTCAAAAGGGCTACATTACACCGAGAGCTCACATTTCTATAAGGATTTTAATGTTTACAACAATCTCACAACAACCTAGGAGTCTGGGAATCTAGGGAGCATTATTCCTTTTTTATGTACCAGTTGGTTGAAGTTCAGAAGTGTTAAATAAGTTGCCCACAGTATGTGTGAGAGCCAGGATTGAGGCCAGGTCATGTGGCTCTTAAATCCAGTGTGCTTTTCACCATACACACTGAATCTCATAACATACATACAGCTCATTTTAAGATCATCACCCCCAACCCACCATCTCCCTACAGTTGATCCAATGTGGGAAAACAGTATCTGCCCCAGATTATTGATGGCCTTGGGTGATTTGAATAAACTGACCCAAGGACTTGAGAAAGTTACTAATTCGTGTGCTTTTATGCCTCCTAACCAAATGTGAAATGCCCTTTTGAGTAGGAACCCTCCTCTAGATCTCAGGAGAAGAGGGATGGCAAGATTTATGGTCATCCTAGCTGAAGCCAGAGTTTGTGAAACTCCAGAAGCGTGGACAATGGGAGCTGCTGCTGTTGCTGTTGTCTGTGTGTATATCTAAGTGAGAGTGTATATGTGAGTACGTGCATGCATATTGTATGCATGTGGATATGTGCACATGTGTGCATGCTCTGTGTGTGTGTGTGTGTGTGTGTGTGTGTGTGTGTGTGTGTGTGTGTCTAGAGGCAGACAGGAGCAGTAGTAAAAAGGAAGGTCTTCGATAAGATGCAGTCCCAAAAGGCCCTATGTCATTACATAGCTGATGTCCTGCAGGGAGGGCAAGGAAAATTCCTAAGATATTTTCCCTTGGGACGAATACTGTGCCAATAAGAGAAAGGTTTTTTCTTTTGTATTTTCCTGGCCAAAAGAAGATGGTTTAGCTGAAAAAGAGCCACATCTGGGGCCCCTACAAGATGTAAAAGGAAATGCAGCAGGAGCCAGGCCAGACCAATTCGTGGGAGCAGTAAGGGCCAGCATAGAAGAAGCCATCCTACATAGCACAGCTGCAGAAAGCAGTACCCTTGACCAGTTGATGATAACTACATACAGAGAGGAGCCCTTCTCATATTTGGAACTGTAAGTGACTGGGGATTGAAATAGATCTTTGGGATTAATGGTTACTCCTTCACAGAGCCCTAATTAGAGCAAGGTAACTGGGGCTTTATCCCAGAGCGTTGAAATTTATAGTGCTGTGGCAGCACTCAGTGGTCCTTCCTCAGGTATAAACAACTGAGCTTAGCACTTAGTGAGCAAAAGTTAGTTTAAAGAAGCAGCTAAGCTCCTAGGTTTACACTAACCTGGTATCCCTACTTCAGCTGAATTTGTCTTAAAAAGTTGATTTGATGATTTTTATGCTCTATGTCCTAGGTGCAAAGTTTGTTAGTTGCAAGTATGCTTTCATAGGTTCCTGATTTATTTTCCTCCTTTAAAAACATACCCAAACTCTTTTCTGTTATCAAATTTCCAACTATATCTCAGTCTCCTCTGCTGGTTCATCATCCATATTTATACCTTCTAACTGGGTGTTCCCCAAGGGTATCATAGGCCCATTTCTATTCTCTCACTAAACTCACTGATTTCATCAGTTCCTCTGGGCTTAATTATCCCTATGCAGATGACTCCCAGATCTATGTATACCTTAGGAATTATAGACCAGGTTAGCCCTAGTCTTTCTTCTGAATTCTGGTCAAGTATCTTGAACAGTCTTTTGTATGTTTCAAACAAGATATTCCATAAGCATTCCAAACCAGTATCCCAAACTGAACTTACTCTCTTACCCCACTCTTTTTGTGGGCGGCTTGCCCAGGTTCACAAACTTAGTGTCATCCTTGTCTCTTCAGTCTTTCTCAGCCCCCATACCTGATCAGTTGCCAAATGTTGTTGTTTTTACCGCTTGCAACATGTCCTGTGTCTGCCTCCATCCCAACTAACCTGGCTGCCATCCTAGTTCAGGCCCTCATCCTGTCTTGGCTGGACTTTTTGCAACAGCCTGATTAATTTTCCTGCCTGGAGTCCTTTTCTTTTTCTAATCTACCCTCCACACGACTGCTGAAGTGATTTCCTTCCATTGCACATCTGACCATGTTACTTGCATCCTATTTCTTCAGTGGTCAACTGTGAGCTCCTCTGTTTGTCTTCCCAGCCTAGACCCAGCCTGCTTTTCCACTGTGTGCATCACTTCCCCTTCCTATAGTTTATGATCCAGCTGAATTGGTCTTTTTGTTATTCTTCTGCATGACCCTCTCTGTGCCTGGGTGCTTGCTTTCCTCCATTCCGAGAATATTCTGTTTCCTTCTTGAACTCTTCAGAGTCCCAGGGGCCACCTTCTTTATGAAGTCTGGCCTGTTCCTCTCCCAGCTTCTGACCGTTTGTCTTGTATACAGACTTTATGTATGTGTTGTCTCCCCATTAGAACATAAGCTTCTTGAGAGCAGGGCCTTGATTTTTATCTCTTTATCACTTCCACCTGGCCTGGCCCATTATAGGTACTTAATAAGTGCTGCTTGATTAATTGATTCTTATGTACTTGAAACTGAGGAGTCAGTCTAACAGTGATTATCTAGATTCTAGATTCTAGGGGTTTTCTAGGTAGGGGCATTAGAGGCTTAAGAGTTCAGAGAAATAACAAAGAGCCTGAATGTGTAACTGGGTCCTTCCTGCTGTGGGAGTCTCTGACACAAAGATTACCTACAGAAGCTGTTAAAATTATCTGTTTGTTTCCTGTCTTTTAAAGGTGTTCCTCATTCCCATCTGAGTGCCCTTGTTCTCTTTCTTTTTGTCACCTAGAATATCCTGTCATCTTCTCTGCTCAACTCAGGCCACTTTTTCTGTGAAGCCTTTCTTGGCCACCCCAGCCTGAGGGGCTTTAGGGCAAGCACCTTACACTCTCCCCAGTTTTAATGGCACTCATTGTCTGTTACCTAAACAGCCTTACTTTGTTATCTTATCCCTTCCAGCCTCTCCAAAATAAACAAACAAAAAAGAAACTACAAGATTTAAGCTCCTTTGGGCAAGGACCATGTTTTATACTCCTGTTTATGCCCTAGAGCACCTGCCATGCTACAGTAGGCACTCAAATATTTGTTTATTTGTCTTGTGTTTATTAATACAAATATAGTAGTGTGGAACAAGCCAAACTAGTTATATTTGTGCAGGGTTTGATCATATATTTTATGGTACAAATATGTAACATAAAATTGAACCCTGAGGAAATTAAAAAGAAAAGCCTAGAAATGTGAGATGAGCACTTGGTTGTTAACAGGAATGCCTGTCTTACTGTGGGATTGGGGGCATTAATAGACATGATATCTCAACTAAGGCAGTGAAAAATGTGATTTTAGTGTCCACTAGACATGATGGAATTATTTAAAAGAAGAAAGGAAGCAAAGGTTGCTTTGGATTTAATGTTAGAATTGGTTCTTGAATTCTCTCCCTTCCCTTGATTTCCTGGCAGAGCTGGCCGGTGGGTATCTCATCACGGATAACTTGAAGGCTGGGATTAAAGGGTGTCTCTTGTACAGACAGTTCAATTCAAAGGAGATATTAGAAACATTTCATGGATATTCTGTAAATTCTGCAAAACAGCCTAGAAAAGAATTGAAAAACAAGTTTGAAACCTTTAATGATACAAGCAAAGGGAAACAAGGGAAGTGATGCTGCCAAGAGCAAGCCCCTCCTGGTCATGTAACTGGAACTGATGCACAACACTGCATTTGTCCTCCCTGCTTCAGAGGGATTGCTGGTCTGAACAGCAATTCCATTTGTTGTGGAATTGAGATCTCTACTTTTCCCTATGTTGCAAGCTCTATGGTAATAGAAGAAAGATGGCTGCTAATTGAAACATTCTGGAATTATTCTCGGGCGAGAATACTCTTATCATGATAGGATTTTAATTTCCTGATTGCATTTGAAATTAGTTCTTTCTGAAATGCTTTTCTTGTTTTGAATTGAAATTTTGGCACTCACTTTTTTCCTGATTTCTTTCCCGTAATTATGCCGTGGAAAATAATAGAGCTTTAATTTTTTTTTTAATTATCATAGGATACTTAATTCTATTCTTCATTTTATCATAAAAATGCAATTGATGAAAGGCACTTAGGGCTCTTGGTTAAAAACTGGGTTTTATTTCGTTTGGAATCAATAGGACTTGAGTTTGAATTCTCTGACTTGTTTTTTACCACCTTGAGCATATCACTTAACCCCTCCCAGCCTCTGGTCCTCCTGTGTAAAATGAGAGGGTTGAACTAGGTCATCTCTGAGGTCCCTTCCAGTTGTAAAATCTTGTGATCAGCTCTTTTTTAAGGAGATATTTTCTCATTTTAATGAAAAGTTAAGGGATAAATCACAACAAAGTTTCAGATATTTCAGATAGTTTTTCTAGACCGTTCTGTGAGGTTGAAAAAAAGTGGTTTGGTTTTTTTTGGTTTCTACAGAAGATATTGTCAAAGGCTCTAACTTGTGGAAGTGTTTTTGCACTATAGACAAGGACTAGTCTGAAAAAGGCTAAAATAACTTTACCTTACTTCCGAGAAAAATCTCTCAACTAAAAAGCACGAGGAATCATGGTTGAAAACTCTAGTCCTCAAGATGAGAGCTCTACTACCGTTGTTCTGTTTCATGTTGAAATTTATGAAGTTTATAATGCTAGTTTCCAACAAAATAAAGAATAGGGTGACTCTTAGCCCACTTTATATTTTGGTTGAGTTAGCTTCTTTAAAAAGTCATATTTTTAGGGGCAGCTAGGTGGCACAGTGGATAGAACACCGGCCCTGGAATCAAGAGGACCTGAGTTCAAATCCAGCCTCAGACACATAACACTCACTAGTTGTGTGACTCTGGGCAAGTCACTTAACCCCAATCACCTCACCAAAAAATAAAAAAATCATATTTTTATTGATATCTTTTGTCTTTATGTCATTTGCATTTCCAGGTTATATCCTTGGCCCCACTTTTACCCAGAGAACCATCCTTTGTAACAAAGATTAAAACAGAAAAAGAAAATCAGTCCAGCACAGCCCACTAACATGTAAATCATCTTGCACATGCAATATTTTATACCCACAGTTCCTCATGTCTGCAAAGAGGACTGGAAGGTACATTTTCTCAAGTTTTCTCTTGGGCACGGCTTGGTCATTATAATGAAAGCATTCAGTTTTGAGGCTGGTTATTTTTTTTTTCTCCTTTCCACTTACCTTGTTGTCCTGTTTTGTTTTTCTGATCTGCATTCGTTGCTCTATATTAGTTCCTAAAAGTCTTATCATACTTCCCTGAATTCTTCCAATTTGTTGTTTCTTACTGTACAGTAATCTGTTATATTCTGGTACCACAATTTGTTTAGCCATTCTCCAAAATGATAGGGACCTATTTTGTTTCCAGTTCTTTGTTATTACAAGAAAGAGGGCTACTGTGAAGATTTCAGTGTCCGTTGGATGTTTCTTTTCATCTTTGTCAGCTTTGAATGTCATGCACGGAATAAACTTCCTTCACTTGCTTTATAGGTAGCATTAATTAAAGACAACTCAGCTGGTTAGACTAGGATGAACACTGCCATGGCTTAAGGTTCTTAAAAATACTTTAGATAATCTCTTTTTTACTAGGAGAATTTGGTAAGGGTGGCTGAAAAAGAACAGAAGAATTTTTTTCAACTTTAGTTCACCATGTTCTAGATTACCCTGACCAGTGAGGAGCAAGTATGTCTGCATGGCTTCCCATTTGGCTGGTGAATGCCAGGGAGGCAAACATCGGGGAAGTGCCTTTCTACCTTTTGCCTCCAGAGGCCAAATAGACTGCAAGGCAGCCCTAGTGATGCAAGCGCAGCATCGCCTAAGCAACGAGCCACTGAGTGCTAGACCCCAGGGGCCCTCTAGAGTCTTTTGCCAGACTTTGCCAGTGCCTAGTACACCCTTCTCCATGAAGGGAAAAGATACTTTGGGAAGGATTTTGCTGACTAGGCCATTTTATATGTTTTTCTAACTAGATCAAGAATTAAAAGCAATATTTTCTCAGAAACTGTTGGTAAATATGTTTATGTTGTGTCTCAGTGGTTAAGTAGACTTAAGCAGGGCATTGTAACAGAGAACAACTTATTTAGAGAAAAATAAGTAGGGTTCCAAGATAAATATCAGCTACAGAACAAATAAGAGGATGCATTTTAAATGAGAAGTAACATGACGCTACAAACTGTAAAATTTGACATTCCAATATATTATGAACTAAAAGCACAAGGAAAATAACAGAGACATGTATAATTGAGATTTCTTGTTTACTTAATCCATGCCAGGAGAAGCCAAGAAAGAAGGGAACAAAAAAGCACTGTCTGTATTTGCCATGTATGGCATACATAGCTTTTTAAGGTAAACACATGGGAAAAGTTTCAAACAGCTAGATTTTTGTAAGAAATTGCTATAGGCTGGGCCCATCTGAGGCCCTCTGCTTATTACCGGGGGCACCAGCTCCCTTGTTGAATGCTGCACCCTTGATTTCAAGCTTCTTCTAGTTAAATAAAGCTTCCCAGGTTTTCCAAACTTTGACTCTTGATCACCAAGTGGCTATACTGTTCCTCCCTTTTGTTGTTGCCTCATATCCTGTTCTTCTTCCCTTGTCCCTCACGCTACTGAGGGATCTTGGAATTCAGAAATGATACACAAGATTATAAGTAATCAGAAATACATGGGGAGAACATTTTCTAGTTGAGCCTCCTCTGGCTAGAGCCTTGCTGTGCCCTTTCCCTTTCTGCCCCACCTTCCTCTTATCCATGGATCCTGAATGGATTTGGAATTAGGGAATCCTGGTTAGAATCAGAGCTCTTCTACTTACTTCTTGCTATGTGAGCTTGAGTGAATAACTTTACCTTTTTTCCTTCAACTGTAAAAAGAAGAGGTTGGACTGTTAGATCGCTAAACTCTTGTCTACTTGTGATCCTTAGATTTTTTTTCCTAACTCAGTTCAAAAACCTAGGTTTTTCCCCACTCACTTCCCCCTTCTAAAGGAGGGAAGAGACACGTCCAGCCCTTCCTCCCTCTCCCCTTTTTATCTTACACCTTGTTGTTTGTCCTCTGTTCTCAAAGAGGACTGTGACATCAGGAAGGTGATGCCATGACTTGTATTTCATTGGATTTCAGTGAGGGAGGGCTGTGCAGAATCACCAGCCTTACTCTCTCCTCCAGAGCCATCTGGCTCCAGTCCAGATATAGATCAGGATGACTGGAGATGGTCCCTGATGCAGTGAGAGACCTTGTCTTTCCTAGATCTTAGTTTAACTGAGGCAACACCCATTCAGTAATTAAGGCTAGGTAAGAAATGAGGCAAAGAATGGCCTCTTTTACCTGATTTAAAAAAAAAAAATCAATCTGGTAGGGGAAGACCGTGGAGGTTTCTGGCTGAAAGAGAAAGAATTGCCATTTAAACACACTCTGAGCCTTCGGGCCCCAAAGGATGAAGGCTCGGGCTGGGATCAATCAATGAGAGCCAGAATGATTTGGGTTTAAGGCATGGACTTTAGGAAAGAAATCTAGCCTGTAAACCTCAAGATATCCTTCGAGGTTTCAGCAATCAAAATTTACTCTGAAGCACCTACATAAGTAAGATGTTAATCATTCTTTGCCTGCAAGAGTGGGCTTCTTATGTTTAAAGAGCATTGTTCCTTGGCAAGCCATTCTGATCCCTTATGACTTGAACAGGAAGTCAGATTGTTTAAATTTTTTTTTAAAAGATCCTTACTAATCACTATTCTAAGTAACTAGGTAAAAGTAAAAGGAAATGTGACAAATCCAGTAAATACAAGCAGGTAAAGACATTGTCACCATCATCCAAAAAGCTATATAAACACCCCCAAAAAAGTCACAATGATCCTTCCTTTCTTTTCAGCATTACTAACCATCCTATAGTCATCTTATATGTAATGTGTATGTGGAAACAGCTGTATTTGTAGAGTTTTTAAAATTAAAGACTGGGTAGAAATGTAACATAAGCCAAAGCCCGTTATGCTATTGTCAGTCAAATCTCTGGATAGCAAATTCTCAAGCCTTACCCAGGAGTTGATTTCTTTTAAGTAATAATATTCAGTGGATAATGAAATTGCATGAATACTGATGAATGTGAATTGTCCTTTGGACTAAGTGCTAGAATTTTATGTCCTTTGGACAAAGTGCTAGAATTTTTGTTTACATATTTTGTAGCATTGTGCATATTTACTCATGATTTATGGATGTATAAATAAAAGTTATAATTTAAAATAGTTTTTTTTAAAATGAGGCACAGTTCGAAAAAATTTCCTATAAGGATAGAACCTTTCTACTCAAATCTATTCTGATCTGTCAAAATACTTAATTGCCACTGATGCCTATGCCCAAAGCAGTATATTTTGGTACCAAGTAGTTTTATTTATTGGTAGTTATGATTTTTCTTAAATATGTAATTTGCTTATTTTAATTCATGCTTAGTTATTTAAATTTTGACCTACCTGAGAAGCTTGCCAGACATCTTGTTAAAAGCAAATTCCTGAAAAATTTTAAACAGAAATTTATTTCTCACTGTTTTGGACACTGGTGAAAAGGATCCATTTAAATTTAAATAAATTCTTAAAAAAGGGTTAACCTTTGGTGTGAACATTCTGCCCCAGTACTTTTGTGAAAGGAAAAAATGATACTGGCAGCGTTTGATATTTCTTCATAAGGCACGTAAATGTCTGAGTCACAAATAGGGTGCCTCCATAATGTGTAATTGGTTGGATCTGAGGAAGAGGTGAGAGAACAGTTTACTTTCCACATTACTTTGTTTTAATTCTATTCAGCAGCTTCTTGAGTGAAGCTAAATACAGTGCCTGGCACATAGTTACAGAATAATTGCTTTTTGAATGGAGATTGTCTTTAGGCAAATAGCAATATGAATGGCGCTATTTCCAGAGTAATTTCCAGAGATTGTACAAATAACTAAATTATTATCTTAAATTTAAAATGACAGTGACATATTGAATATCCCAATATGAGTAGTCAGTCAATAAGCATTTATTAGGTGCCTACAGTGTGCCAGGCATTGTGCTAAGGTCTGGGTATATGTGCTTAAAACAAACAAACCACCAGCCTTGAGTTAAAGCATATAATATTTGTGTAAGAATGACTCCTAAAAAGCTTTGAGTCACCTGGCATCCATTTAGTTTACAGGATGCTGAAAGTGAACAAGGTGTAACTTATAGGGAGCCTAAGGAACATTCCCTGTTCCTATGTATGACATCTCCCTC